TTTATACTTCCTGTCCCGCCCCTTGACTTCCGGGGGGCGGGGACAGGCCGCGATGGCTCCGCCCACTCTGGCGGCTTTTCTGGCTCATCGCTTCCTGGGGCGCCTGGAAGCCAGGCCGCCCCGCTACAGATGTAAAAACAAATAAAAAATGAAAATCCAAGACATTTTAATTTCCAATTTCCTGCATTTTAAAATATTTCAAAATGAGAAGAATTGTCATGCCGAAAACATAAGCTTCTCTGGTATTTACCTGTAGCTTATCAGACAAGTTACATTTTATAATAATATCAAATATGCACTAAATCTACAGATATTAGCATGTCCTCATAGGGCCCTGAAAAGGCTATCCCTTCTCCTATCTATTGCCCCACATACACAAATGGGCTCAGATTGCTGACATCTAAAACCACGTGTCTGGAATTCTTTCCTCCTACACAACCATGTCCTCCAACATTTACATCAAACATGTGTGTATAATGTAGTGAAATATCATGGCACCAGACTTTCTACACAATGTAAAATGTGTCTTTACATGTCTCCCAAGTTTCCATGTTCTTCCTCCTCCTTCCCACAAGAAACTTCACTCTGTTTCTTTCCTTCGCTCTGCCTCTTATCATTTTTCAGTTCTCTTCCATTTCATCCCCCTCAACCTCCTCTATCTAAATTCCCCTCTGTCCCCTTCCTCTTCCATTGTCTCCATTCTCCTAAAGCTTCTAGCATCTCCATTCACCACCCCCCATTCCTTTCAACTCTCATTCCCTTCTGAGGCAGATGGCAGGGGGAGGAGATAATTTATCTCACCTACTGCTGCTCCACCTGTCACCAAGAAGGTTGGAAGCCAGGCACCAGCTCACATTGCTGCTCCAGCTTGAGATTCTCCTGCTGGTGGGCTGGTGAAGTGAGGGCTATTGCCTAGGTGGGAAGCAAGAGAGTAGATAGAGCTCCAGCAGGGATGGAGGACCTTTGTGTTATATTACCAGTGTCCTGCACTGCTCCTGTAGCTCCTGCTCCCCTGCCTCACCCCCTGTGAGTGGAAACAGAATGCCACTTGGGTGGGAAGGAATGAATGCCCTGTGTCTGGGGTAGGGTGACCAGACGTCCCGATTTTATCAGGACTGTCTCGATATTTGCTTGTTTGTCCCACGTCCTGACCGATGTTCGGTCGGGACACTGGACAAACAAGCAATTTTGCCCTCTGCTTCAGCTCACAGGCGGAGCCCGGAGGGGCTCTCTCCCCCCCGCCCTGACTCCGCCCCCTCCTTCCCCCATTGGATCCCTCCCCAAATCCCCGACTTGGCCCCGCCTCTTCCCCAACCATGCGGCATTCCTCCTCCCTCCCAGGCTTGCGCACGGGCCATGGCCGGGGCTGGGAGCACAGCACGGAGGCTGCTCCTGCCTTGCAGCCCTGGAAGCAGCCTAGTGGGTCTGGGGGCAGCACGGAGCGGAGTGGGCAGGGCCTGGGCAGAGCCCAGGCGGGGGGTGGAGACATGCGTAGGAAGGACACGGCTGCCTGGTTCGCCCCCTGCCCGGGTGGGTCCCCTAGCTCCCCGCAGCCGGAGACGGGCTGCCCCAGGGCGAGTGTCCCAGGCGGGGCGGAGCGGAGCAGCCTCTGCTGCGGGGCTGGTGCGACGGAGCATGGGAGCAGCTTGGCCGGGAGCTGCAGGAGGGGCCCGGAGCACGCCTCGGCTGCAGAACTCAGAGCCCAGGCTGGGCCCACTCCCCCCGCGTCCCGATATTTCATCTTTGTCATCTGGTCACCTTCATCTGGGGCAGTGGAGGAGCTGCAGCATTGGTCGGGGACTGAGTTGCTCCCTACTCAGCTCTACTTTGTGAGACAAAAGGGATACAGCACTAAGGGATCCAGACCTTTCTTTATATTAGCAGCAACAGAGCTGTGTTTGCATTTACTGACTTTGCTTTCCATAGATCTGTCCTTGCATCTAAGGGTTGTTTGACACAGAGCTACCTGTGATACTCAGCTATTAACAGCCAATTAAAAGGGTTAGCCAGAGAACGTACAGCATGTTAACAGATACAGACCATACCAGATAATAAATACACCAATGAGGGAGGCCAAGGGTATCGTGTCAGAGCATACATACAGATTTCATAGGACCTTTCCAGAACCAAATGTACCATGTTGCAACTGATGCTTATTCAAAATGGTTGCAATTATTTTTGCATATGAGCTACATCTTCACATAATGAAATAATATGTCCTTTGTTTGCATGAATTTACCACAGAGCAGATTGTAAATTATCACTGTCCACAGTTTACGTCAGTGGAATTTCAGTAGTTCATTATATAAAAGTAAATTACACATCTAACCACAGCTTGATCCACAAATGGCTTGGCTGAATGGTTTGTTCAGACAGAGGAGGAGGAGGAGTACAGTCTCTGAAGTCAGAAAAGGGCATTCAGAAAAAGAAAACTGGCCAACTTCTTATTTACATACATCAATGTTCCCGGAGCAGCAATGGGCAGGCACCATCTGTTTTATTTTTAAGATGAATCCTTTCTTCTCTACTAGAGCTCCTTAAATCCATTCTTCAAGGATCTGTTTATAAGAACCAAATGAAGCACTAATGTAGCATTAAACATACACATCTGTGATGCAGTGGATTGTTCCAATCATGACTTGTACTGTGTCCATCAATGTAGTACCTGAGCATCTTGCTAAAGCATGATACACGTTTTGTGCATAGAAGTTTAAAGAATTTGGGGCAAAGCTGTGGCCTGGTCCTTTGCAGCCACATAGGAAAGTAAGAACCCATCATAGTCGCATGGGAACAACTCCAATTTGAAATGGGGCTAGGAGAAGAACAAGGGCTGCACATCTGATTCTTCTGGAAGAGAGGGATCACTGCAGCAACTCCACCCCACATCCCCAAGTCTCCAGCCAGCAAAGCAGGAGCGCATAAGGAGACTAGTAAGCTACAAGGGGTGAAGTAATTTATTCCAAACTCCTACGGCAGAGGAGGGGAGCAAGGAATGAATTGTGAATCTACCTTAATGCATCACTAGTAGCAAGACAATGATTTGATTTCTCCTAGTTGTTCCTGGGGCTTTAGTAACCCCAACGGGGACAAGGAGAAGGCAAAACCATGACCTGGCCCTTCCTTTTGCTCTGCTGGTGAGACATGCAAGGGAGTACATGCTGCACCATTGTAAGGTGTCTCTCAATGGACATGTTCCTCAGCTTGCTTAGGATCTCTCCATGCTCCAGGTGCTTTTTGAGATCCATTGTATTAAAAATGCAGTTATGTATGAGCTATTGTATGTGTATATCTTCTCTAAGACTGACTAATGCACTCTCTGGAAGTTATTAGGAATGTCAAAAGTACTTTCTGGAACACCACCTGTGATGTGGATTTTGTAGGAAGTACCTGAGGAATGCAAATGACCCACCTCATCTCCTCCCTTTTCAAGCTATGCCCTGGGGAGGAAAATCCATTGTCTACTAGTTACATGCTCTTGGAAACTCCAGTTCAGAGATCCCTGCACTGTATAAAAGGTGAACTAGACATGTTATACTGACTCTGAGCTGAAGTTGTGATGAATTTGTAACCACACAGAATCCCCTTTCAGAGGGTGTTTGAAGTACTGCACCTGCCAGAGCTCAAGTTAGAGTTCTGGCTAACTCTGGTGAGCTTAAGTATCAGAGGGATAGCAGTGTTAGTCTGGATCTGTAAAAAGCTACAAAGAGTCCTGTGGCACCTTATAGACTTACAGACATATTGGAGCATAAGCTTTTGTGGGTGAATACCCACTTCATCAGGCGAATGTAGTGGAAATTTCTAGAGGCAGGTATAAATATGCAGACAAGAATCAGTCTAGAGATAACGAGGTTAGTTCAGTCAGGGAGGATGAGGCCCTCTTGTAGCAGTTAAGGTCTGAACACCAAGGGAGGAGAAACTTAAGCTCAGCAGTTTCTCTTTAAAGTCTCTTTGAAATTCTATTTTCTCGTGTGGAAATAAGGAAACAAATCAACAGAGCCAGAAGTGTACCC